CTCAGGCACTTTGAGAAAAGGAGTACACAGGCTGTCTGATGTAAACTGGTCTTCAGAATCTCACCTCTCACAAAGAATTTAAACTGGCTCTGGCTGTCTGCACTTCTGTGCTCTGGTTTTATCAGTCTGACTGGAAACAAACGATTATTTATTGAGTTAAATGCTAAAAGCAAGCAATTGGATCTACAAACCACTAAGGCTTTCAAAGCAAGATATGTGCTTAATCACTGAACCAGGAAACTCATGCAATCCTGATTTAAGATGTTATTCTTGAATTTTGTCTAAAATATATATCCCCGTGCATATGCCTTTCTACTTAACACAACGCAAGTTTGTTTATGTTGCACACGCAGCGCAAAACGTTCTGTAATTGGTTGTTTTGTCGTTTAAATGGCCTCAGAGGCAGGGGTTCTCAAAACCAACCTGTTCTGGAATTTACCAAATTTCCAGTCAAAATGGCTATTAAATAAAAGTTATTCATTTTTCAGGAGATCAATTCTGAGGACATTAAATATAAGATAATCCACTTGCATAAGAAAGGGGAAAGTTAAATGCAAATAGTGAATTCAAATGAAAGGAACTTGGTAGACCACAAAAAGTGTCACAATCAGATAAACAGTACTTAAAGATTTCATTTCATCTTTGGGAAACAGGAGAAAATCAAGCTCCGCTCTTGTGTTAGATCTGAAAAAACTCAACTGGTGTTTCTGACCATCCTTCGACGGTGAGAAGACAACTCAATACTATGGGTCTGAAAGGACCCATCAGATGTAACCATCAGGAACTGAGAAAAGGAAACAACCAAAAAAGAAACTGCTGGTGCTCTCAGAACAACGAACTGTCCACTCTAGAGTCCAGATCCCAACATCACTGAATATGTTTGGGAAGCAGAAAATGCAACCAACTTCTAAGACTGAACTTTGAAAGTGTGAACAAATAACCCTGCAGATTTCTTTGAAAAAAGCAAGTCTCCTGAAAAGAAAAGAAGCTGTTATAAAGACAGTACAGTCTGAAAATAATGGCATTACAACTATATATGTTGTCTGCTTTTTTCCTGATGCTGAAAAAATGAATACCTTGCACTTTATGGCTTTTGACTCTAAATGAAATGAATGAAGAGTGATCTTCATAGTACTGTAAATAATGCAGTGTCTGAGCACTCCAACGTCCTGAAAGCTAATCTATAATATTCACACACGTAACCATGACTTCATTTATGGCCTGCTATGCAAATCCAGTCTCATGGGGGACATGAGAGACATTACTCAACGCCTGATTACCACTTCATGGCCTATTATACATTATCCTTCTTGGTCTCAGTCTTTAGTGGTGTTAGCTTCATGTATAATGCAGCAAAGATGGTCCTGGCTATGTTGTAGATTTTATCAGCTCTGGCTTTGCCCTTCATACCTCCACTGGTTAAGCAAATACAATGGAGAAGAGGCAAGCACACACAGGCAAGGACACACGCACACAGCTCACACCCCACATTTATACACACCATACATGATGGCTGTGTTGTTCTAGTACCAGAAGGTATCTGGCCTTGTAATTCTTTGTGGTTTACATAGAGCTGAGATTCAATTGTCTTCATCATCACCATCGCCACAGGAGGCAAGCTGTTTATCCTTCCTGCTCTCCGTCAAATCATCATTCTAATCATGCCGTGATATTTCCACCATCTGAATTTTGGTAGCATTAAAGAAAATTAACATTTGCATATTAATAATAATTGAAGCTTCAAGTGCTAACAGCACAGTGATCTTATGGAATAACTTTAGTTCAAGCCACTTTGCAAAAGGTTCTCCTTTTCACGATAGCAGAGACTTTGCATGTCTAATGGATTTTTGCCAGATTGTGTGCTTAACTGAATACACAAAACTCCCACACTTTCACAACCCTTTAATGGTTCAATTTACAGAAGTGCAAGAGGCATGAAACTCACAAAAGCATGAAGACTCAACGTAACAAAGTGAGACAGAGAAAGGATTTTCAGCCCAATTATAGCTACAAATCTTTTTGGAAAAGCGGTGCTTAGACTGGCAGAAAAAAAGACAGGGCCAGCACAAATATGTAATAACAAGCCTTTCTTGTCACAGGAATTCAAAATCTGACTGATCACATCAAAGGCTTTTTTTCCACAAGTCCTGTCCTGGCTTAAGAGCCGAGATCACACCGTGCGCACAATGAGCTACACTCATTAGTTTCTATTTTTTGCTATGAACTAAATGTATTATTTGTACTAAATGAAAACTTGTATTTGTGTGAATACTTGAACATAAATAATGAGTTCATGCAAAAAAGAGACTTACCGGCTACTCAGGACCACCACAGGACCACTGAGGCAGATATTATTTTTGCAGTGGACCATTCTGACTACAGCAGCAAGAGTGTAACAACACATGTATCATACTGCATCACTCAATATTAGCCTCTCAATTCAATACGCACATGTATTGAGAAAATAGAGCAAAAAAAATGAGAGCAGCCTTTCTCTCCTCTGAAAATACTGCTTCATCTTTACATCAAAATCAAAAGCAGAGAGAAACACCAGGCTCCTTGTACTAAAGTGAAAATGGAAACGTCAACATATTATCATAGGACAGATTTTCAGGCACTATTTATTTTCACCAAAAAAAATCTACTGTATTGAGACACCACTGCAACGTACTGAATCGAAATTTGAATTTTGTGAATCGTTACGCCCCTATACAGCAGTTACACCAACACTGTAGTGGGATGTTAATGTGTGTTGCACTAGTGTGAGTGTATCAGGCACGACAGCATTGTTGGGGTACAAGGTAAGTACAAGGTGCACATATATTTATATATAATATAAACATACATAAAAACTTGTACAAAAATACGTAAAAAAAATCCAATTTTACAAAAAAGCCAATTTTACAAAGTACAAAGTGTTATTAAAGAAAAAATATCAATATTGATGGGTATTGGTAGATGTTCATCTTAAGTGATGTGTTTCAATTGAAGAAAAAATATCGGCTCTGTCTCAGTCGATACTCAAGGTTTCAACATCTGTATCAGTTTCAGAAAAGAAAAAGTGATATCGCGCCATCTCTAGGTGTTATTTAAGTAATCTAGACAGCACCATAAAGGGATTGAATTTTGATACCCCACATTAGGCTGGTACAGATGTGACTCTGAAGCAGGCAGAGAGACGGGCTCATTATGGTCTTGGAGTCTAAAGGCACAGTTATTACACAGCTGTGGGAGTGAGACTGATAACACAGGGAGAAAAAAGATCAGCACCAGCCTGCGTGGATCATAGCCCTCCCAACGAGTCAACAAACACACTTCATAGTAGCTTTTCTCACTTCATTTCCTCTCTGTTTATCAGTGTAGATCCCTCCCACAGCCACTGAGAACACACACCACCTCTGACGAACCCTGACACTCACACTTGTGTTTGCACAGATTATTCACTCCAATATGTCCACTGCCTGGGATGAAATCACTGCTGTTGGGAGATATTCGCCACAGGGCACCTCAAGCACGAAGCCACTGGCTGAAGAAAACTTCAATTATAAAAAACAGGAAAACAATTGTTTTGCTCAGAGCTCTAACATTCGGCTGTAATAAAACTCTGAGTGTTTGTTATTCGACACATGCAGTTTTAAGCCAAGAGCAGTATTTTATACACAAACAGACACGCCAGTTCAGCTTCCTTCTCAACCACCTCAACTTCTGTTTACAGCTTTTGAGATCTCGAGGTTTCAAGGATTTAAGTCTGGTACTACATACATGCTTTTAATACAGATAAAGCAAGGATAAAACTGATTTATCGGTCTTATCCCTTCATACAACACAACTATTTTACTGGCACAGTTTAGTTCTTCTTATGGAAGACCTTGTGAAATAAGCTCAATGAAACAGACAAGTAAAAAAGGGGGAAGGGTCACTATTGGGATGCTTTGGCCACCTTTTGTGTGAGCTCTGAAAGGGTCTTGCTTCTCTGGGAGGGCCACTGAATAGACCATCAGTGAGTCTCCTATCACTGACCTTTCAGCCTCATTACCATCAATGGTGGTCATGATCTTTGTGGTCTCCCACAGATCACTGTTTCAGCCACTGTGTATCAGTAGTCATCTTAAATCACCCCCTGAAGCAGCCCACAAGAAGATTTACGATAAGAAAGAAAGGGTTTATGTTGTACAGCACTGGCTTGCAGCTTTGTCTATTAATATACTACAATGCAAGGTGAATTTAGATTTCAGCTAATCCTAACAAGTATATTCTGTCTGTATGAGCACAAGGAAATACTGTAAATAAGCTCTTTGCAGTACCAAAGTAAATGTTTGTAGGAAACCAATCACGACCAATCATTTACTCTTTCATTACTTTTAGGGCTAATCACATGCGAGTTTCATATTACCTCATGGAGCTTAGCAGAACATCTAAATCCACCTCACAAGTTTCTAATAGGTGAGAAGTCCACGCACAGCAAAGTGAAACACAAATGCAGGTAAGTTACTTGACTGTGTCAGAGGAAACTTCTAACCTGGCGCACAAGAAAAACCTCACAACTAGCACTACATAGACTGAAATAAGATCTGTTACACGTAAACATAAACAGGTATTTCAGTTTCCACAGACTATATACTTAACGTCTACAAGCAAATTACCGTTGAGCTCCCACAGCCTCATTCCGTGAGCTGTGTTATGGATAGCTTAGCCTGCTACTACTGAGACCACGGCGTTACTTTTAAAGATGATGTTCTCCCCTCAGTCTCTGCTCATTCTCTCTCTCTCTTCCATATATTGGTTCAACAACGTTTAGGAAATCCAGCATGAACTGCGAACATGAGTTTCGAACATTAATGTATGCTAGGCTAATTAACGGCGCGCAGTAAGTGCTTATTTTCTCACTTTTTCTGCTCTTTTCCATGTCAGTGAGCTGGTAGGCGGGGAGCCGGGGTGACTGGTGCCCCCCAACACGTTCACACACACGAATTACGATGCAAGTTTTCCCGGGGACTCACCTGAGAGACGAGCGGGATGAGTGTTTGCTCCACCGACCGAGTTTTGATTTCGAGTCCGCAGTCAAAGTTACTACCACCAGCAGCGCTACATGGAGACGAAGCCATTCCCGCCTAGCGCGCGCTCTCTCTCTCTCTCACTGCTAATGGTAACGGCTCTACCGAGTTTGTTAACGTTACCTGACAGGAAGATTCGCTAAACTGTGTTTCTCGCTTAAAAACACTCCTCGTTCACAAGCTTTCGGCTCCGCCGATTAGTAATTCCCGTTATTCCCGCCAAAGAAGCCCAGAGTGTGTGTTTAATCCACGGTTACTCAGTGCCGTCTGCCGGCTGACTGGTCTTCGCCATGGAGTTTACCCAACTACGACGGCAGGACTGTAGCAGGCAGGCAAGCCAGAGAGACTGGGCAGGCTGTACGGGACAGACTGTAACACACGCACACACACACACTCTAGTTAGTGTGTGTGGGTAGTGAGAGGGGGGGCTTGGCTAACACAGCAAGAGGTCTACAGGCTTAAGAGTTACACGTTACAAAAACACATTCTGTTGTTTGCCCCTCTGTAGGAGCCAGACGTGGGTAAAGTGTGACCAAAGCAGAAGAAAAGTTATACAGAAGTGACTTCAGTTAGAGTTGCTGTTCACAGGCTGTTGTGTATTACACTGTTCTACAGCATCTGACCCCAACTGAAATTTGCAGGGTGACCTTTTTTCCTGTATCTTTTCCAGACTAACACCAGCATATTAACAGTGTTATTTGCAGTTGTGTAATATTCTGTAGAATTCTGACAGAATTCACAATTTTGTAAAATTTTCGTGTTTATAATCCATCGGTGTTCTGTTCTGTCACTACCCAGCATGCATTAGCCAAATACATCACACGATCGTCGGGAATCCCTGTAGAGCTCAACAAATCCTGACCGCTGATGAAGAGGCTAACAAGTACCTGTGGTGCTAGCTAGTTAGCAGCATAAATCAATTGGTCGTCAAACTCTTTTCTTTGCTTAAGGAATAATTCAGCCATCTAATCAAAACTAATCTCCAACAGACCCTAGTATCGACCCCAAATCACATGCATGTGTCTTATTACCTCATAGAGCTTTCAGAATTTTCTCTCCACCTTCAAGATACATCATCAGATGGTTTTCCAGAGTATATCTTTAAGTCTACTTGTCTTCATAAAATGTTGATTTTTTTTTTTAACTCTTACTTCACAAAAACTTGGGATTGTTTTTATAATGTCACATTTTTCTGCAAATTATGTACACTTACAGCAGAGGCCACCAGTTTGAAGTCAGATGTGCTAATTCAGTTGAGACTGACTGGAAAATGTCAAATATCTTAGGGTGTTGCTGAGCTCCTGAATGTGTGACCTCCTCTGAGAACATAAACTGTTTCTGTCTTTATTTGCCGAGTACATGTACAAGTAGCTGTCTTGGTTGGAGATGTTTTCTTTAGTGTTCGTGTCTTTTCACCGCTAAAGCGGTGAAACTCTGGTAAAGTTGATAAGCTTCCACCATTTCTTGGCAGATTGATGACCAGAGACAACAATCCTGCGACAAGTGACATGTTTGCACAGCGTTGTTGCAGTGTGCCCACAGTAAAACAGGCCGCTCGGGGGGGGGTGAGTTTCCTCTGAGTCACGAGTATCAGGTGACATGAGAACACTTCCCCTGAGCGGGGCGGCTGAAGTCCTGGCCAAGTAAACTCCATGGAGCCACACCAGACTGGCGGGGCCTGAATGTGGTTGGTTTTTATCCAGCACAAGTGCTGAGGTTTACCACTCTGCTTAGACAGCTCACATTAATATCAGATATTTCCTCCAATTGTTTTTAAAGCACACTCCAGCAGACCAAAAGAAACCTGATCTGACCATGAAGGGTTTATGGCTGGGCGTTTTACCACATCCCACCCAGGGTGCATTCCAAAGAAATCATCATCATTCAGAAAACATTATGCTGACCTTGTTTGTTTACAGTTGATACTTGCTGTAACTGTTTCTTTAGATATCTTTGTTTTTGAACTCCTCATTTGTGCAAGAACTTTCACACTTTGTCTACTAGTTTCTGCTTTTACCAGGGGGCTGCATTTTCGCACACAGATGTAGCAATTTAAATATATAGAGGGTAAATAGAATAGCTTTCCAACAGATTGTTCATTTTTTAGAAATGCTGACGGTGTGTTGCCCTCCCTGAGTTTCCCTTGGTCGCTCAGCTCCAGGAGGGGAGGCTGTGTGCAGAATGTAAAGCTCATAAATAGCGAGAGTTAGCATACGGGAAAAGTGTAGAATAAGCACATTTATTTCCCCCTAGAACCAGGAACAGATTTATAGGATATGCGTTTTACAGAGAAGTCTGATCCAAGGTGTATAACTCAAGTTCTCTTGGGCCAAATCTCTGTTCAGCTTACAGTTACTGAATGCCTGTGGTGTATGCTATATGGTACATTTTAGCACAGTGAAGGCAAACCTTTCAGATTGGGCCTAGAACCTAGATTGAGATAGTACCTTAGACTTCACTGCACTGTGTTTGTTCTGAGCAGTGAATGATTTTGGATTCAATACATTACTTTATCAGACAAATGTAGCCATGAACCATCTACCTTGAATTCCATTAACATTTAGTAGTATTGATTGGGCCTGGTGCAGGCATTGACTCTTCTTAATTTGATTCACAACCACCATTAAGTGGTTGGAAGCCCTTATTCAGTTGTATTGGCTGCTGGTCCGTGCAGGTGAGTGTGTGCGCTCTCTGACTCAGATCAGTGTGTTAAATATGCTCTCATTCTAAGCCTGCTGAATGACAGCCCCAACAGACAAAGCTAAATTAATTGCCAAAAAAGTCAAGTAAGACAAAGAAAGCTTGAGGTCACTGCAAGGTATCTGTTTTTTTTCCAACGTCATGTAATCACCAATGCTTAAAGGACCATCCTACTTTTTTCTTTTATTTAGTTTTTTTTTTTTTGTCCTTTAGGGCGACTTTTTACATTTGTTTTTTTTTATGTACCAAAAACAGTCACAATTCATTATTACATGATCATTTTCAACTTCTCTTCATCCCAATTTAAAAGGTTGTTTTTGTTACCATGCCTTTAAGACAGATACAGTTGTGTGCAAAAGTTTAAACACCCCTGGTCAAATTACGTTGTGCTCATTTTCGGAGTGAAAATTAGAAAATCAGCAAAACATGTAATCTCTGTTCTGATTGGCTGCTCTGTGTTGTGGCTCATTGTGTTGTGGTTGAAAACTCCTTATAATTGGCAAACGTAACTGGTTGTAGGCTGATTAGGCGGAAATGAAAAATGCATTGGTCTTTGTGGCATCACAAAAACAAGCTGTACAGAACAAGTACAAAATACAAAACAAGCCGTTTTGCAACTTAGTTTCCATTTATCACTGTATGGACTGAATGGTACATTTTGAGCCTTGAACAATGCTTATATACTTCAACAAACTCTTCTGTTAAAAAAAAAGGAAAAATATTTTTCATGATTTGGGCCCTTTAAATCCTGTACATGCACATACACACACATACACACACATGCAATCAATCACACTCACAAACGTCAAGCATATGCACACTAATTAGCACTTTCTCCCTTTCTCACAGTATGACTGGTTGGCTTGGCTTGATTGGAGGGAGTGTTGTGTGTGTGTGTGTATGTGCAATGTCCTCACAATGTCCTTTCAGTATGTATGTGTGTTTATGGAATTTGACCTCTCATTGCTGGTAATTATCTGTACCAACTACCCCATCTGTCTGGACAGTGGAGATAATTAGGTTATTGTTTCTGAGGCAGGAGAAATCCTGTGGCTACATGAGAGCGAATGAGAGTAGATAAAGCCAGGGAAAGATCTCTGGCTGATGCCTGTGTGTTTGACAGTGTTGCTGGAGGACTCTGTGCTTTTTTAAGCACAGGGAATGAGCTGGAACACAGCAAGCATTTATCACAGCACATTGTAAAAGGCCTCACACCCTGTTGCACAACTTCTAACCTCTGTTGCAAATATAGATATGCACCCAAGAAACGTTACCAAGTGCACAGAATCATTATCAGTGTTCACAAATGTGACGTTTAGTTCTAGCCATTGAAATATATTTAGGAGTATTTTACCCAGAACAGAAAAAAGACCTTGACCAAATATGTTCTGGTGAAACATATGTTTAAATAATATGTTCAAATAATCCCATTATGTATTCTGGTGAATCTGATATTCAACACACTTATCATTCTTATAAAGAATAGCAGGGGCAAAACATGACTATTAGAGCTAGAGCTATGAGTGCTTTAGTTTGGCTTATAACTTAAAATCTCAGTCAGTAACTCTCAAAAACATAATGTTGATAATGTTTCTAGCACCCCTATGTGATTCTAGTAGTGTGTTAGCACTAAGATAACAGAAACTCACATTTTTTGGTCATTCTAGATTAAACATGGACATTCAAAGTTTGTAAAAAACATTCCATGTTATATGAAGCTTGTAACAGTCATATTAACAAATATTTTATCTTGTGTGTAACAGTTTACCTGTGACTCTTTCAGGAAAGAGTTCCTGGCATTAAGTGTCTATGATGTATGTAGACTTCCAGAAGGCTTAGAGTGATTTTTTTCTCTCTAAATTAGTCCCACCTATTGGAAATCAGTGCATGATTGGTTGATTCCCATGTCATTTGCTAATTGTATTGGTGGATAATCTGACATGGTATTTCTTCAGTTCAGCACCTGAAGTCCTAACCAATGGGAAAGCTTGCTTGGCTGTATCTACCTAAATACCACAGAGTAAAAAAAAAACCTGACTGTATAATTTTTTGTTGGGTGTTTTAAGAATTTAATCCTTTTGTTTCCAGCCAAAACTTAATAAAAGAAGAATATTACTAAAATACTTGCAGAGTTTAGATTAAATAAACATGATGATTCTAAAAATATATATACATGTTTTATATCATAGAAATCATAAGACCTTCTCTTAAGGCCTAGAAGATGCTAAGAGTTCCCCACTGCTATATAGTAACAGAAAAGCTTCTATGACTTTATGACAATAGTGGAACCCTTTTTGAACCTGTATAGAACTGTGTACAACAGGTTTTCTGTCATAAAAAAGACCCAGTTAACTGTTCAAATAACCATTTATGCATTTAAATGGTTCTTTGAATTGTCATAGTTCTGTATACACTTTATGGCCAAAAGTCTGTGGATCATCACACCAGTGTGAGATTGTTGCACATTCTGTTCCAAAACCACAGGCATTAATATGGCGTTGGTCCCACTTTGTGGCTTTAACAGCCTCCACTCCTCTGGGAAGGCTTTCCACAAGATTTTAGAGCGTGCCTGTGGGAATTTGCCCCTGTTCGGTCAAAAGAGCATTTGTGACGTCTGATACTGTTGTTGGACAAGAAGGCCTGATTTGCAGTCGG